TTAAATGCAATATTACAGGCTAACTCTGCCCACAGCCAGGAGTTCGATCCTGCCCGGCTCAAGGTTGACTCAGCCTTCCATCCTTCCAAGGTCGGTAAAATGAGGACCCAGATTGTTGAGGGGGTGCAATATTCTGAGATTTGTAAACCACTTAGAGTACTGTGGAGAAGTATATAAGTTGAAGTGTTATTGCTATTGCTACCCTATTGCAGGCTCCTCATTACCATGGGGATCCATAAGACCATTGAAAATGTTTAAAGTGAATTCTGCAAAGACAAAAGGTCAGAGCTAATCTTACCTTGGGAGAATGACATTCCAAATGGTAAATACTATAACAGAAAAGTCTTATTTCCTGCATCCTATCAGATGGAACTCTTTAGTAGACTGGATCTTTAATATACCCCTCCTGCTGGAACTGATGTATTATAGGTGTAACTAGCAACAGACAGGTCCTAGACAAGGAAGCACCATGCTATGTAGTTCTTTAAAGGTCAGAAACAAGTAAACTAGCAACCAATGCAGGTTGTGGAGTAGAAGTGCAACATGTGCCATTCTGGGGCATATATTACTTTCCACACTGGCACATTTTGCACAAGTTGAAACTTCTGAATAAGTTGAAGCCCCATGTACAACATATTAGAGTAGTCCATTTGGGAGGTGATCAGGGCATGAGTAATTGTGTATAGAGCTTCTTGATCCAGGAATGGGTGCAACTGATGCACAAATACTTATTCCTTGATTCTTTATTTAATGCACTTATATTGTCCTATTCAGACCCAAGAATTCCCGAAATAGGTTGTAGGGATCAGTAAAGAGCTAGTTATACAAATTGCTAAAGCTCTAACATTGCACTATTTTCTCATAAAGAACCGATTCAGACATGGGGCAAAGATGCTAGGTATAGGTGTATTTTATAGAACAGTGGTCCCCAAACTTTCCGGCTTGGCAGACCAGCAGGGGGGTGGGTGTTGTGTCCCGAGCCTGCAAAATCTTCTTACAGACCAGAGACAAAACTTTGAGACTGGAAATCCAGCTCCTAACTTAATACTCTTTTTTGCACAGACTCAGTACCACTTTCTTCACATTGGCTGACTGAGTTACCACATGATTCTTCCTGTTCATGAATATTCCAACACTCCCTTTCATGACAGGAAGAGACATCAGACCTATTAATTTAATACATTCTTTAATCGTGAAAAACATTGTGCCACTAACCTGGCCTTATACTGTACATCATTATTTGGCAATACCATATATATATACCCACTTACAACCCACAGCTTTGGTTCCCTGTAGCAAAGTCACTGATTTAAATACTTCATGCTCTTCCATGGATTTCATCTCTTTATCCATGGCCTCCTTCCATCTTTCTTGTTCAGCTTTTGGTAATGCCAACACCTCTTTATAACTTCTTGGCTCATACCACACATTGCAAACCTTTACCTTGCTGGCAGAATACCTGTCAGGCGGAATTCCTTTATTACATCGCTCTGACCTACGTGGTATTAACTGCTCCTGTGTCTCAAGTCTTTCTGGTTTCGTGTCTTGTTCAGCCTCTCCTCCCTGAACATTGACATCTTCTATAATCATTTTTCCATCATTAGATGAGTTGTCATTAAATAGATCACCATCATTAAGTGAGACATACCCAGAATTTGCATTAATTCTGTCCCAATTTTGTTCTGCAAAATTAGCAGACCTTGAAATCATAATTCTTTTATTTCCATCGCTAAAGCGATATCCTTTTGACCCTGGCTCATAGCCCACAAACCTGAGCTTTCTTGCCTTTTGCTGTCCCTTTCTTCTGATTGCTTTTGGAATATGTACCCATGCAGTACTTCCAAAAATTCTCAAATGTGCCAGTGATGGCTTTCTCCCATATAGAATGGCATATGGAGTATTATTAATGGAGGAATTCCACAGCCTGTTAACTATATAATTGGCAATCAATATGGCTTCTCCCCAATATGACCTACTCATACCAGAATCCTCTAACAATGAATCTTTAATTATTTGCAAAACACCATTCCTTCTTTCAGCTACACCATTCTCTGCTGTTGTGTAAGGATTTGTACGTCTGTGTCTTATCCCCAACTGCCCCAACCATTGTTGGAATTTAGTTGACATAAATTCACTTGTTGTCTGTACCTTCTCTCTACAAAACTTACCCACTGTTTGAATTGTTGTAGCACCTCTGTCTTTGCTCTAAGCAAATAGCAAAACGAATACCTGCTATAATCATCAACAATTACCAGTGCATATTTTGCTCCTTCCAAACTGGCTTCCATAGGTCCCACCAGATCTGCATGGACCAGCTCTAGAACTCTTTTTGTTTGTCTTGTGCTATATTTACTAACTGGGAATGCCTTTGACTTCGATGCTTTGCATACTGCACAGTCCAAATATGTTTTGCATCCCTTCAAATTTAGCCCTTCTGCAAAATCTTGCATTTGCTGCAAAACTTTAAAGCTTGCATGGCCAAGTCTTCTATGTAGAAGATGAACACATGAATCATGCTCTGCAACATTCTTAAATATATGGGAACATTGAACCTTTTGTCCCTGCAATACATATAGATTATCTTCCTTTATGCCTTCTGCACAAATATTCCCATTCCTTTTGATGAGACATTTCCCATTTACAAAAATGACCTCAAAACCTTGTTTGTCTAAATTAGACACACTTAACAAATTATGTTCCATCTCAGGTATACAAAGCACATTGGTAAACTTTGATTGCAAATATGGAATTTTTACATCGCCTCTTCCAATGACTTTTGCTTTCTGGCCATTTGCCAAAGCCACAGCTTCTTGTGCTACTGGAACAAACCTGCAAAATAATTCAGAGTCATTAACAATTGTTTGATGTGCCCCACTATCTATTAGCCACTTGTCTCTGTTGTTGCTATAGCAAACTTTTGCAACACCAAAATGTTCCTTTTGCAAAGCAGTCCTTTTTGGTTGCACAAATGTCCTTTGCTGCAAACTGGTGTTCACACTGGTGCTCCAGATCTTATGGAATTGAATCCAAAGCACCTATCACTATTGGTACTATCTTTGCTTTCTTTTGCCACTGTTGTTTTACTTCTATTTGCAGGTGTTTGTATATTGCAATTTTCTCCAATTCTTTCTCTTCTATTCTGCTGTCTACAGGTACTGCCACGTCCACTATTCAGACTTTTTTTTGTCTTTCTTATTAACAATTGTTAAGTCTAGGGTATTATGTGGCAGGTGTTTGTTTGAATGTCAATAGAATTTATTAGGCAAATGATATTTATTGCAAATATTCCAGCAATTCATTATTGCTACTTTGTCATGTGATTGTAGTCAGTCTGTGACAGCTACTGTAAGTAGGTGGTTCTGTTTCTTCAGCTTTTTTGCAGAGGTGGCAATTGCTGTTTTCTCAATTCTGGTTTTGTATGTTGGGTCATTGTTTTTATTGCCATTATGTTTGAATAAATAATGCTATCATCCTGCTTTTATTCCATCTAGGAACTACACAGATCTAGTCCTTCAACCAAGTTGCTGTTTTTTGTGCCTTCAGTCCAACTGGAGGTGCTCGGACCCCCTGAGGGTGCTCGATGATATTCCAGGGGGTGCAAAAATTTAGGCTTTCAAAATTATAGTGTATATGCATAATTCATTGCCGTTATTTTGAACTTTTGTAAGGAGCGTGAGAATATATCAGAAGCATTATAGGGGTGGGGGGTATAGAAAGGTTTGGGAGCTGCTGGTCTAGAACTTACCTATAGACAAATGGAATACATGTGTACACTGTAATCATTATTCCCCTATTCCAAATTGTTCAGCATACTTTACAACTAAAGAGAAGCAAAAGCCCCTAAACCTAAGGACAAGTGCTCACATAATTGTAAATGTTAGGTTAAAGACTGCTTAGATGCATGTTAATGGGACATGTATTTACAAAAACTACATTTCTAGAAAAGGTATATCAGAAAATTAAAATTAAGAAGAGACTGGACAACCATCAGAATGGTATAGGGCCATGGTGGTGAACCTATGGCACGCGTGCCACAGGTGGCACGCAGAGCTCTCTCTGTGGGAATGGGCACCATCGCCCCAGTACTAGCCTTCAGCTGGGTTTTATAAAACCTTTGCGCTTTAGGCTTCTGCCACCGTGTGCAAAAGAAAAAAGGTTCAATCAATCAATCAATTCCAACTTCTCGCAGAAAAAAAAAGGATCCTGCAAAGTTGGAATTGATTGAACTTTTTAGACCCATCCAGTATGCAGTTACCACTGCAGCCACGCCCACCCAATGGGCCATGCCCACCCCATAGGCCACACCCACCCAATGGGCTACACCTATCCGGCACCCAACGATACATAAGTGGGTTTTGCGTTGCAGTTTGGGCACTCGGTTTCTAAAAGGTTTGCCATCACTGGTATAGGGTTTCCTGCCTGAGCAGGGCATTGGACTAGAAGACCTCCAAGGTCCCTCCCAACTCTATTATTATTATTATTATTATTATTATTATTATTATTATTATTCATTAGACATGAACCTGAACATTCAAATTGACTGGCGCTGATGGTTGACACAGGTTGCTGCCAGCATCCTCGGTTTCAACCAGGTACCTCCTTAAAATGTAAGATGTTCCGAGTAACACAGTTTTTTGTATTATTATTATTATTATTATTATTATTATTATTATTATTTTATTGTTGTTGTTGTTGTTATGCTTTGTGTGAATTTAAAAAACCTGCAGAAATTTATCTGAAATTACTTTAAAGAACATCTCTGATATAGCTAGTTAATCAATTAATCAAAAAATAGTACTGAAGTAAATAAATTAAATAAAATTAAGCAAGACTTCCTTAAGAATTCTTTATTTATATACATGAGTAAAAGGTAGCACAGTGGACATATACGTACAATGAATTACAATTTTCAAGAGCCCTATTGTGTTAAAAGTGGTTACTATGAAAAAAGGATACTTGATTGGAACATATTTACAGATAATTCTTAACCTATGTTATAGACGTATGTGATATCATCAAAAGAAATAAAAAAACTGGAGTGTTCAGAGCTAAAGCTATCTCAAGCAGGTAAGATATTTCATATTCTTCACGCCTATTATTTTATATTACTACTCTTAAAGTGAAATGAAGTGCTAGCTTGCTTGAAAACTTGCTTGGTTCTCATTCAAAATCAGATTTATCAAGCAAAAATTATAAATCAATTGTGCGATATATATGATGACTACCTATGCATATCTGTGTGCATCTGTATGATTTTTTAAAAAGTTCTGAAAAGTGAACTTACAAGAATATTTGCTTTACTTCGTGTATGTTTTGCAAGGTGTTAATTATGTCAGCTGTAAATAAAAACATTTTTATACATATAGTATGAGGAACTATTATCATTTAGGACAGAATTATGAACTTTGTTTATATATTAATATTTTAAGCTACCTTTTTATGTATATATTCACAGATATGATACGAATTATGTTTGAACTTGAGAAAGAATTTTTCTCTATTTAATTGTACCCCATGAAGAAACAAGCAAAGCTCAGGGATTGCTTAACCCATGCATTGCATCCCAAACTCAATCTCAAACATTTCAAGATAAACCTGAAAAAATCTGACCATAATCTGGAAAGCTATTGCCAATTCCTATAGACATTGTTTTTTAGTCAAATCAATGATATAAAGCAGTTTCCTTGGTTTTTATTTTTCTACCTCTAAGTGATTCCACAAGGATACTGGCTAAAATGATCTTGACCTCTAGGCCATTGTTCTGATCCCGATGTCCCGATGTCCCTATGCTCTTAATGCTATTTATTACGTATGCCTTGATGAAATTAAACAATGGATAATAGCTTCCTAAATCTAACCATGTAGTTATCAAGAAACATTAGCTCAGTTCATTTCAGATAGATTTGTATCTGTTTCTAGATATTGTTGAACAAAGTGGAAAGTGGTTAACAAGGAAACAATTTTCAGATAATGATTGACTACGTACTCCATTTTTGTAGTGTCACTCCATGTTCTCATTTCTCAAGGTTCTCTTGCTTATATTTTTTTTCCCTGCATATGGTTTTTTTTCAATACAATTACTTGGTAATAAGGATATTGAAATCAAAGCTTCAAAGATTATTTTTAATAGATATGTATGCTTATGTTGAACATAGGATAATCAAAAGATGATGGGTTGGCTTAAGATTGATTCATTGTTATGAATCACTAAAAAGAGTAGGATTTAAGTTAGTGGATTTCAGTAATTCTGTTCTAAATTTGATGATCCACTGCAGCTGAATCCTTTTTTTATAGATATCTGCCTAATATTTCACTTTCAAACCAGAGGCTGTAAAGATTGAAGAAAAATTGGGAAAAAAACTATCTGCATTCACATTGCAGTATCATTGCCACCTGCAACCGATATTTATTAAAATTTTGGCGCTATGTCAATAATTTGATATTTTGAGATTTGTATAATCACTTATTTATTCATTTATTCTTGCCATTCTTGCCAAATATAAAATGTGTATGTTTCTGTGTTTAGAATATACAGTGTGAGATTATATATATTTTAAATACACACACACACAAACACATTCAAATTTCATTTCCAAGAAGATCTGAGGTTTTAGTTTATTGTGAATAAGCCTCTTTTTAGATATTTTTATGCACCCATATATTCTGTAGGTTTCAAATTGCCATGCAGTATATGTAGGACCATCTCTTGTCAAGATTTCCAACCTGGTCTTTTAGATATCAATCAAAACACATTTTGAACAATGTCCTCATTTACATTTATCTAATGTTTAAGGTCATTTGTGATCATTTGAGTCTATTTTAGCATATAGAATCAGTGAATAATAGATTTCAACTCCATGCTGTGAAGAAAGATTGTGTTTTTACAAGGCATAATGTTGTTTACTGGGTGTTAATAATCACTAATTAATAAACATATCTAGACTTCTGAAATGTTGCATTTTCTGCTTTAGAAAATGTCAAGTGTTTAACACACTGAGTACAATAGCATTTTCTGCTTTTATTCATGAAATAATTTCGTTACAGAAAAATACACGATGTTGCATTTCAATATAGGTCATACTAGTTATTTTTATGAACTATACATTCACAGTTAAAACTTTTCATATAAATAGAATTTTTGTAGCCTACTGTATTCTTTAAGATTTCCTGATGTTCCTTATTTCTTTTCCACTGATTTCTTTTTATATTGCTTCAATCTATAAGTTGCTGTGAATTTTGCTAAAATTAATAGATTTCATCTGCAACCAAGAGTTTAAACATGATTTTTGAAGTACTGAATAATCCTAGTCTTCAAATTCCATAATCCAAGTTATATAATTTGATAAAAGTTGCTATAAGACCTAGGCTTTAATTTTATTTTGAATTATTGCTGTACACAAGGGTATATCAAAGAGTCATGAATGGAGTTTTTTGGGGAGAGGAAATACGTTTACCTTCTAAGAGTAGAAGCTCTGGCAGGTTCCAGCAAATTACTGTTTTCATTGGTAACTCTTATTTCCCTTTCCTTCAATGAGGAACAGAGTATGAGAAGTGGGAGGCCAGTCTGATTGATTTTGGATGCGGAGCAAATTAAGAAGACAGATTGACCACCAATTTTTGATACATTAAAAACACTGTAAATTGGAATATGATGAGAAAAACAGCATAGTGATCAGAAGATACTACAAACTGCCACAAGTTCCATATTTGTAGGAAGACAGGGTTTTCTTCTTCTTCTTGTGCCATATCCATTATTGGATGTTGGCGATCATGTTGACAATCCTGTTTTTATCAGCAGCTGCACAAAAAAGTGCTACTGAGTTTTGTCCAAACCAGTCCCTTAGATTTTGAAGCCATGATGTTCTTCTTCTGCCTGGTCCTTGTTTGCCTTCAATCTTTCCCTGGAGGATTAAATGGAGTATGCCGTATTTTTCTGGGTGTCGCATCACATGTCCAAAATATTCTAATTTTCGTTTTTTAAATTTTGATGATTTCCCTTGACTTTCCCAGGTGGCTTATCACCTTGTCATTTCTGATCTTGTCAACCCAGCGTATACGTAACAGGTGCCTGTAACGAAAGTCTTTTGTCAGTAGTTTGATACTTAATTGAATTTTATCTGTTAAGTTTTATTTCAGTTTTCGTGAAATGTTAGTGTCAACGCTGAACTGAAGCTATTTTCACTTTGTTTGGGTTGCCACATATTTAGAAAGAAAGGAGGGGGGAAGTGTAGTTTTAAGTTAGTCATAACAATTCTCATGTATGGGAACCAAGGTCATTACTGATAACATTTTGACAGCTGAAGATCTGGGAGGAGTGCCCACATTTACTAACCATTGGTGAATGTGATTTATGACTTCTAATTGGGGTGGGAATTGCAACTTGCAATTTTGTAATCAAGGGGGAGGGGAATTTAGTCTTGAGTTCACCTTTGTATGTACCGTTATTTTGAGGCCAAATAAAAATGTTCTTTGAGGAAGAATTCCTTGTCTTGAAGTTCTTTTAATTGGTCTCATCTACTGGAACCATGACAGTTAGTTCTTCTTCCTAATTTCATGTCATCACTTTACTCCCTTTCCTAAATTATAGTTTTCCTAAGCTATTTTCCAACCAGGATAGTACATTATCATAGGTAGCAGTGGTTAATTCTTTTCTAAAACTCATCTATAAAAATTAAGAATACTCATTAACTTAGTGTACAATTTGATTATGGCTCTTTTATTTATTTAGAAATAAATGATTTCCTATTCTAAATCTAAAATAAATAAATAAATAAATCTGTAACAGTTTTAATACTTAATAGCCATACATTGGTCTTCATTGATGAAAGTATGGAGGCTATATTTAAAATTTCATAGCTAGTCTTGTGTCACTTTTATCCAAAAGATTTACTGTAGGTTTTCAAGGAATGAGCTAAATTTCACAACTAAGTTAGACATTTATCATCCATGTGGAATTTCCAGAAGTAAAGGTAATCCATTATGCCTAATATATTGGAGTCCTAGTGGACAATCAATGAATATGAGCCAGCAGTGTGCTGCAGCTGCCAAAAAAGCCAACATAGTTCTAGGTTGCATTAACAAAGAGATAGAATCAAGATCAACAACAAGAAGTGTTAATATCACTTTATAATGCCTTGGTAAGGCTACACTTGGAATACTGTATCCAGTTTTGGTCATCACAATGTAAAAAGACGTTGAGACTCTAGAAAGAGTGCGGAGAAGAGCAACAAAAATCGGGACTGGGGGCTAAAACATATAAAGAACTGTTGCTGAAATTGGGTATGTCTAGTTTAATGAAAAGAAGGACTAGGATGACATGATAGCAGTGTTCCAATATCTCAGGGGTTGCCACAAAGAAGAGGGAGTCAAACTATTCTCCAAAGAACCTGAGGGCAGCAGAAGAAGCAATGGATGGAAACTAATCAAACAGAGAAGCAACCTAGAACTAAGGAGAAATTTCTTGATAGGTAGAACAATTAATCAGTGGAACAACCTGCCTCCAGGAGTTGTGAATGCTCCAACACTGGAAGTTTTAAAGAAGAGATTGGACAACCATTTGTCTGAAATGGTACAGAGTTTCCTGCCTAAACAGGGGGTTGGACTAGAAGACCTCTAAAATCCCCTCCAACTCTGTCATTCTATTCTATTCTATTCTATTCTATTCTATTCTATTCTATTCTATTCTATTCTATTCTATTCTATTCATAGCTAGTCAAAGCACAATAATCTAAGCATCTGAAGATTTTTACTTTAGCCCTGGCCATGAGACAGGTTCTAATAACAATTTCAGAAGAAATAGTAAGCTATCTTTGTAAACAAAGCTGCATATAATTACAACTGTACAGCTCTACTATTTATTTGGGGAAAATATTTTAGTTTTATTAGCGGAATATTTAAGATTTTCAATAATTATGTGTCTGATTTCGAAACCATTTTGGAAGAGCAAGCAATATCTTCATGACAAATAAGATATTATTTTCTGTCTGTAATTGTATCAAAATTAAAATTAAGGGAAGGTTCTTAAAAACAGATACAAGTTTGGTATGCAAAAGATCTGAGGATCAATT